TTTTCAATTCTTCTACTTCCGATCACATTTAAATCTACTTGATTTGTTTGCGCGCTTTTACCACCCCACCCTACTTCAAATGATGGAAGTACTTTGACAAGATCGCCTATGACCTCCAAACTGATAATACCCACTGGTCAGTGAGTCCTCATCTAAATGAGCATAGCTGCCATTCTTCCTCACTAATCAGGTAATCAACAGATCAAGTGAAACAAAGTACTTAAGAGCACTCTGAAAAATTATTGTGTATTTTCATAAAGAAACCGAAGCCTAAGGTTTCCCCCATGTCAGACAGCTACTAAGTAGCCCATGAAGGACCACTGACTGGTATTTTTCCGATCCTTGACCTTTCCATTCTATCAGAAATCTCTTCATAACTAACTGACCACTCAGCCACAACTACTGAACTCCAGGATCTTTGGACGTGTAGTTTTTCTTGCCTGTAGCATTTACCTCTACTGTTATTTCATCTATATAATGGGTATATTCACTGTGTACACACACAGCACACTTTTCTAGTATTGAAATTTAAGGGAACCAAAGGAATTTAAACCCAGCAAACTTCAGTTTCTTGTACTAGCAAGGGCAAAAAAGAAAAAAATTTAAGATTGTAATTCTTAGAAATTACTTGTATTTTCAATTTTTTGTTAATTCTTCTTTCACTTTCCATAATCACTTCCTCAACTTTGAGAACTATAAGATTTCTTTTTCTCAGCTTTCTAATAAATGGCAACATTGAAGAACCTTATTGAGGGATATAAGCCATCTATTACAATCCACACATATGAAACCAAATCTCTGGTTTCAAGCCATGTCCAGAGAGACAATGATATAATTATAAAAACCCTAGGAATGTCCTGTAGTAATCTCTGGTTTATCAATATATGCTACTAGTAATAAAGAAGCTAACAAGCAGTTTCTAAGAAATTTAATCTTCTGTCTTAGGAAATTAAGTAATTGTCTCCAATGTTGTGAGCAAACCCTGTATTTTCTGATCAAATATACTTTAAAGAAATTAATATATTGAATCACTTCATTCAATTTTTTATTATTTGCAAATATTTTTTCTTTATCAATAATATCCATTGTTTAAATATTTTTCCAAATTATTCAAAGCGCATGAATTACAAATAGGTTTTCTATCTTCAAAATGTGTATTATACACAATTTATCTGCAGCAACTAGATTTTTCAGACTTGCTCTTTGCATAGTTACATAAAACAGTAAACGACATTCTTAAAAAAAAAATACCTTTGGTTTCTTCTACAGCAAGTTTATCACAAATCTGCTTTTCATAGGTACAAAGATGTTCCAGGGCTTCTCTATAGAGACCTGCTTCCCGAAGAACTTGATTTTGATATAAAAGTAGTTCACTATATTCATAATCCACTTTATCAGGTGATGTCTATAAGTGGATATAAGGAATACTAATAGTAAGGACTGTTTTCATATTAGGAAATTTTTTACATACAAACGCATATAAGAGGTAAATAGATATTAGCTTATTGACGAAACTTTTTAAAAATTCCCAAATACCTGTTTAGGGAGCAACTTAGCAAGCAATGACAATAATACTTACAATCCATTGAATAAGTATCCAATAAATCCTTACCATTTCATAATCTTCTAATAAATGGTAAGCAATTAGTAAATAAAAATCCTTCTAATAAATGGTAAGCAAATAGTAAATAAAAAGGCAAGGAAGAAAAGTGCTTACTTAATGGTAAAATATTAAATAAATCTAGAAGGAACTCACGAATCACCATTTTGCAGCTGTCACAGGAATCACTGATTAACGGCAAGAATCATAATCAGTGATACCAAAATTAGTGGCAAAAACCTGATAAGGAACAACAGGCTACTCATTAAGTCTCAAGTTACTTATTAAAAACAAAGAGGAAAAAAATACCAAGTTTATAGTGAAGAAAAATGACAGAAATCACCTTACAAATAATCAGATACAACAGACATCATGTGTTTCATATGTAGACATCATGTTACCACTGTGCCTCTCAAGGTGAGAGAACAGTGCGTCTGTGATTTCCTGCAAAAAATGCACAACTATACCTAATAGTGAGAAATAGCAAACAAATCCAAATTGATGGACATTCCACAAAGGCGCCATCCCTGGATTCTTCAAAACTATCAATTGTCATGAAACACAAAGAAATCTTTGAAACTATTCCAAATTAAAAAGAGACTCAAGGAAAATAACAAGTGAATGCAAGGTATGGTTCTAAATTGAATCCTGAAGTGAAAAAGAAATTGCTAGAAAAGATATAAGTAAGACAATTAGTAAGTCTTAAATATGGCCTGTGGATTAGAAAATAATCTATCAATGTTAAATTTCCTAATGCCTGATAATTTGTACATATTATCTGTAAAGATGCAACTAGAGTTTTTCTTATACCATACACTGAAACACTTACGAACAAAAGTACGATGTCTCCATTTCCAAATGTTTTGGGAACAAAATTAAACAGAGGAGTAGATATTGTCGAATAAATGTGTAAAATATTAGCAATTAGTGAGTGTATGGACTCCTATATGGAGTTCTTTTTCATTATTCTTCTCTGTAAGTTTGTAAGTTCTCTGTCAAGTCTGAAACTATTTCAAAATAAAGCTATCAAGTTCATGTAATCTTCTTTTTCATTATTCTTAGACTCAGACTAATTTACCTGTTGTGTTTTCCTAAATTCTTCTAAAATCTTTGCTGCCATTTCATAATCTTCTAATAAATGGTAAGCAATAGCATAGCCGATCCATGATGCTCTCTGTGCAGGTCGAAGCTGGAGTAACTGATACCTCGTTTCCTTTAAGGGGGGAAGAAAACAACACTTTTTCTTAGATTTACAGTTAAAGCAAATTTTTCCTTAAAAGATCATATTTACCCCACAACAGTGAGGAATATGCAGCACAGAGCTTAGAACAATAATAGAAAACAGTTTCAAACAGAGGCAAAGAGGTATTTGTGAAAAGACACAAATGACGCCACGCCTCCAAGATAACTGTCTAAAATCTTTTTTTTTTTTTTTAAGATTTATTTTATTTATTTATACTGGGGTGTAGGCCAGAGATGCGGGAAAGACGATTCACCAAAGACAGAGTAGGGAGCTGAGCAGGCAGATCTACTGAAATACACTATTGTGGGGAGCAGCAGGTGAGCCAGGGGAGGTCTCCTATGCCACGTGGGTCAGCTCCCTGGCCGGAGATGGAACTCAGGACACAGTGGCTGCAGATAGCTTGAGAGAGACTTTAACCCCTGTGCCACCAGGGAGGCCCCTGTTTAAACTCTTTCAAAAATCCTTTTTTATTTGTGCATCTACTAACTCTAACAAAAGAGATAGAATGGAAAAGACAGTACAAAAGAAAAAAATTATTCAAAATTTATTTAAAAACTACAGTGAGTGCCCAACCTCTAAGTTAACATCCACAGAAACAACTCAGTGGGTAGTACATGCAGAAGAAGATAAAATAAGTCTAAGGAGAGCCAAATGATTTCAAAGATAAAACGTAGCTACCAAGAGACTATTCTCAATGCAGGTAAGCAGAAGGCAAAAAATATGTGTTTCCCTGGAAAATGTGAGAAATAAAGGTACTATTTACATGTTTGCAATAGAAGTTTTATACATACATGATAATTTTCACTGAATTAACTCAAGTCTACATAAAACCCAAATCTCATTCACAGTAAAATACATTCTTTAAAGTTGTTATTCTAGACATACATATAATCACCATTGGAAGAAAGAGATGATCCAATTGGGAAGAGGAGATAATTCAATTTTTTAAAATAGAAGGTTTTATTATAAAAGACGTATTCAAAAAAATTTTTAAAGATCTTAACACCAGTTTCCCCTTAGGATAAAAAAGCCTCTATTTTACTTACCCTATAACCTTCAAGATCTCGCATTTGTATCTGTAGTAAGGAAAGGTCCCTTAAGATTTGAAGATTGTCTTTATCCCATTTTAGCGCGTTTCTGTAACACTTAATAGCTTCATCATATTTCTTGTCTGACCTCTGAAGAAGCCCATAAACGTGCCAACCTAAACAATTTTGTTAAGGACACAACCTACAAGTCAAGAAATAATATTCCAATATTTACCAGGAAACTTGGAGAACTATAGCTATTTACAAACTAAGAGCTTAAAAAGGGAAGCAATATAAAGCTAGAAGGCGGTTTAATATACAATGGAAAACAGCACAGCTTCTTGAGCCAGAGAAAATTAGGTCTTGCCTGCCTTATTAGATCTGTGACCTTCAACACGTTATTTAGTCTAATTATGTTTCTTCAGTTATAAAGTATAAACAGAAATAGTCTATACAGCAAAATACAATGGTTTGGTGACTAGGTGGAATACCGTATATAAAATGCTTACTGGCTGGCAGAAATAAATGCTAGGCACGACCTTAATTATTAAAAAGAAAAAGAAGTATCTGTAACATAATTAAATCATAGATTTTCCTTTCTCTAGTTAGAAGTACACAACTGCACATAAAACAACATTCATTCACTTAACAAATCATTAAAATTTCTTAATAGTCAGGATGTGTAAATGATCAAAAAGGATAGTCTCCTGCATTCAAAGTCTGCGTAAATGACACAAATACATAAGCAAAATCATAGTAGGTCATACAAAACATTATGAAGAGTGGACATTCGTAAAAGCTGGCCCCCTAACATATGTAAGGTCTGTCTACGTTAGCGCTTAACTACTACAATACTACCCAGCTTCCACCCTCAGTCTCTACTTTTTTCTCCTGCCAGAGTAACTTTTCTAAAACACACATAATCAAAAGAAAATCTTCACATTCCAAAAACTTATTTTTCTTGTAGATCAGTTTCAAACTTCTCAATCTAACAACTTTCATGCCAGGGATCCTCAACACAGTCAGTAAAATACAGACTGCCTAGGGCAGCATGTATGACTGAAAACACATTTAATATAAATTTTACTGAAAAGTAACCTTTATTTAACATAATTGCTTAATATAAATGACAAAGTGCAGTTTAGCAAAATCTTTTCATTTGGTTGGAATATGATTTTAAAAGCCTAACATAAGACACATCAGCCTTCATAATCTGATCCCACTGCTCCTTATTTGTCACCAGTGCCCTGCAACTTCAAAGACTTGATCACCTCTCTCAAGCATGGGCACCAATCCTCTGGTCCCCGCCTCCTACAGTGGCAATGAAAGTTTACTGCTCTCTCCTGCACATCCAGTGAGGTTGGGCAACTCTTCTTCAACTTCATGCTGTCTGGACTACGTGACCACCACCGGCACCACTGCAAGAGAAGAAGGCCAGGGGACTTCATAGATCACTTGCTTTTTGTTTTATTAAGCTAAAGGGTAGTTGCCCTGTAACATTACTTCAGGTGTACAATTTGATTTGATATTTGCATATACTGCAAAATGGTCACCACAATAAGTCTAGTTAACACCCATCACCATACATAGTTAGCAAAAAATTATTTTTCTTGTGATTGAGAACTTTTTTTTTTTTTTTAATTTATACATGCACTGGGTACAGTCAGAAGCGCGGGAGGGTGAGAGAATTCATCAGAGCCAGAGCAGGGAGCAGAACAGGCAGAAGGACCGAAGTACACTGCTGAGGGGAGCAGTGGGCGGCAGGAGAGGTCTGCGCGCCATGAGGGATCCTCCTCCGGTGGCCGGGGAGCAGTCGGGGATCGAACCTGCGCTGCAGAGACTGCGGGCAGCTTCACAACCCAGCGCTCAACCGCTGTGCCACTGGGGAGGCCCTGATTGAGAACTTTTAAGAGGTCTACCATCAGTAACTTTAAAATATGCAATCCTGTGTTAGCCACAGGCACCACGCAATACAGCACATCTCCAGGACTCATTTATTTTATAACTGGGATATGTGCTTTATGCTCCACTACCCAAGCTCCCTCTGGCAACCACCAATTTGTTCTCTGGACTTATGAACTCAGAATCTTTGGGGCTGTTCTATTGTTTTGTCTTTATTCCACATTTAAGTAAGGTCATACCACATTCTGTCTTTCTGACTTTATTTCACTTAGCATGATGCACTCATGGTCCATATGCTGTCACAAAGAGTAAGACTTCACCCTTTATGTTATGTATGACTGATTATATCCTTGTGTGTCTGTATGTGCACACACATTTTCTTTACAAAATTGTCTATCAACAGACACTTAGCTTGTTTCTATGACTTAGCAACTGTAAGTAACAGCTGCAATGAACCTGGGGGTGCATATACCTTTTCAAGTTAGTGTTTTCACTTTCTTGAAATAGATACCCAGAAGTGGAAGTACAGGGTCACATGGTGGTTTTCTTTTTCATTTTTTGAGGACCCGCCACACTGTTTTCCACGGTGGCCATGTACATATTTTCTCATCAGCCATACCAGTTTACATTCCTATCAGAGTGCACAAGGGCTATAACAGCCTTTGAACTGCCTCTGATCTCTACCTCCCAAAAAATTATCCCCGGAGTGTTTAATGTTACTGAAAATTTAAAGAAACCTATCCATCAGGAGGAACCCGGTTAAACAAATCATGGTAATATACAATCATTAAAATCAATGAAAAGATAGCAACAACAGCCGTATTAATTATTCTTTGCTTACTTTTTTAGTTTCTGTTACTCCCAACTCACTTCTGCTTTACCAGATTAGGTATAATTTTTCAATAAGCTGTAACATTTTATGTAGCACTGGAAAGTGTTCTGTGGATGCGTCTAATAAGTATCCTTCCTCAAAAGGCTAAGTTCTTTGAGAACAAAATCCATCTTTGCCTCACTATGCCAGGGGCCTGCTAACACTTGAAAATATACTGTTTCAGCACTTAAAATTGCTTTAGTACACAAAACAGATAAAGAAATATTTGTTTAAAAACTATCTAAAAAATAACAACCCACAATTTTTTTTCTATGTTCCCTAGGCATTTGTACTTGTTCATAACCCTCACACTGCCCGAACAAAATAAAATTTATGAGGTATAGGTGTACTTAGCTTTTTCAGGCACTAATGTTAAGCATCTTACTATCTCATCATTAACCCTCTACACCCCCACAGTGATGTGGATATAATTACTGTCGTTTTACAAATGAGGTAACTACACCCTAAAATCACAGGAGGAAACTGCGCTCTCAATATCAACCAGCACTATATTGCCTCTCTAATGGTCCATATTGTATTGCCTCTAAATTTATGAAGAGGGGGCCTCCCCGGTGGTGCAGCAGTTGAGCGCTGGGTTGTGAAACTGCCCGCAGCCTCTGCAGCGCTGGTTCGATCCCCCGCTGCTCCCCGGCCACCGGAGGAGGGTCCCACATGGTGCGCAGACCTCTCCTGCCGCTCCCTGCTCCCCTCAGCAGTGTACTTCGGTCCTTCTGCCTGTTCTGCTCCCCACTCTGGCTCTGGTGAATTCTTTCACCCTCCCGCGCTTCTGACTGTACCCAGTGCTTGTATGAACAAATAAATAAATGTAATAAATAAATAAATAAATAAATGTATGAGGAGGGTGGGCCTTCCTGGTGGTTCAAGGGGTTTAAGACGCAACCTATGAAGCTGTCCATAGCCACTGCAGCAAGAGTTCGATCCCTGGCCGGGGAGCTACCCACATGGCACAGCAGATCTCTCCTGACTCGCCTGCTACTCCCCTCAGCAGGGTATTTCAGTCAATCCACTTGTTCTGCTCCTAGCTCTGTCTCTGGTGAATCCTCTCACCCACCACACTTCTGGCCTGTACCCCAGTTGTTGTATGCATAAATAAATAAATCTTTAAAAAAAAATTTATGAAAAGGGTGAATCTGCATAATGTATAGAAAGAATTTCCATAGACATTTTAAAAAGAAGGTCCCAATTATCTATGACTATATATAATACTAGAATGTGTAACTATATAAAAATGTTCCCTGAATGAAGGAAGTTGCTGTTATCCAATTTAAGAAAGAATCATCTCTGGAGTTACAGGGTTAGAAGACTCTAACAGATCTAACACTCAAAATTACAACCTTAGCTTAAGACACCCCAATCTTCCAAAAAGGATACACACATGACTCTTCAAGTCATTCCTCAATCCTCTACGAACCAATTCGTAAGCCTCTTCCTTTTTTCCCAAACAGTTCAGTGTTAATCCTTTCATAGCCAGGGTTTCTATTAAAAAGGAAGGAAGAAAAAGAAAAGAAATTAACATCTGAAAAAATAAACTAAAACTGTAATCATAATCTCAAAAACAAAGGTCCGATTATCGTAAGTATTTAAAAATTTAAAGGAGATTACTGGGAAATTTTCCAAATTTGTACAGAATTAAAATATTTAAAAACTGACAAACTGAGCACACACACATTTCTGAAATGTGTGTTTCAGAAAATGAGCACAAATTGCACACTGGAAAGAAAATCTGGTTAACTCATATGTCAACAAGATGCAGTGACTCTGTTACTGTTCTTCAGAGGAATTCCATGGAGGAACTTGTAAAATAAAGCTCCTTTAAAGTGTGAAAAACTTTATCTTAAAAAGACTGTTTCTGTGAACCCAAGTTACATGAAGATTAAATGTACTAGTCAATGATTAAAAGATAGACATCAATTTTCTACATTTCTGATTTTCAAACTTTTAAAATAAATTCATTGGGATTACTACTGAATATACAAGTAAAAGATATCAGAGACATAGCATTTGCAATCAACAGACTGAAATAGTTGCATAAACCATTAAGTTTTCAGAAAAGGAAAAAGAATTTCTCATATGTATCTTATAAAGCATAAAAGAATAAAAAGAACTCATGATTTTATCTGCCTTCTATGACTAAAACTTAGAATTTACAAAAGAATTAGAAGATAAAGATTAGTGGTATGATCCTGAAAAAAATCAACATTAATTGGAAAATTCACATAAGGAAGTGGAAGGGAAAGGGGGCAAAACTATGTATAAATTTATTTTTTTCATGTGTAAATTTAAAGGAAAAGGTAGCAAACAAAATATTTGCCAAGTAGGCAAATTAGCAAGCTACTGCAGAAAATATCTTTGTTGTCAAAGAGGTAAAAATCTATTTCTTACAAGTTTATCGGTCACTATTAAGTGTCTTAATTTCATTCAGGGTTCCCTTAAGTTTAAAGCAAACCATAACCTTAAGTACTGTTAAAAAAAAACAACTTTCATTATTTATGACACTTGCTATACAGATCTGCTAAAATAGAGGAAACACCACATTTTATAAAGAATGGAAGCAGGAGCTCCACCACACTGAACGCTATCATGATTACCTTAGCAAGAGTTAGGGACTGGCAGGCGTACTTCAGAAATGAACAGAGAAAAACCTAACATCCAGCTGGCCAGCAAAAAGAAGTACGTTTTAACAATGAAAAGGGGAGAGAGAACCCTAGACACTTTTATTCCCACTGCTTTCCATAGCCAAACAATTGTATTCTCGTGAAAGAACTAGAAGAGCGCTTCAGCACCACTCCTGGCTCCACTTGGCGATACCTAGAGAACAGTAGCCAATCGAAACCTCCGGGCAGCCTAAGTGCATCCAGGTCAGACGGCCAAAAGCTTCTTTTCCCTTTGCCTCTTCTCAAGTGTAGCTACACATTCTCCCCTTGCTTTACAGACATTTCACCACCCAATAGTCTATCCTCACCTAGGCAAAAGCTACATAAATTTTCAGTACATTACAAAATAAAAATTATATCTTAAATATGAATTAAGATACAATGTTCAATAGAAAGATGTTGGTTCAGAGCAAAAGACCAGACACTTAGGGAATAAGCTTGCTGTAAAGGATAAAATGTCTTCAGCTCAACTGAAGATGTAAAGCAAATTTTCTTCTAACATCTTAAATAAACTTATTTACTAAAATCAGCACATTGGTCATCCTAGGATCACCTGCTAATATATTCAATACAGAAGTAAGTCATAATTCATGTAGAATGTGTCGCTGTTTTGACAATTCAAAATACTGTTTTAAGCATCTTTTCACAGGAGTCAAGGATGAGAGTAACAGCACCCAAAAAAACTGAAGACAGACAAGTAAACAAAACTTAATCTACTTATACTTACAAGTAAGTGTATGCTATTTACACTTACCTCCATGCTCTGCAAATTTGGGATTAGAGAGGATTTGTTTACAGAATTTCAATCCATTTCTATACTGTTTATGCTCATAACATCTCTGTTAAAACAAAAAAGAAAAATTTGCGTTTAGGAAGAAATGCAAGCAATTTGAAATTCAATGCTAAGTTCTGGACTCTGTTAAAGGCAACAAAAAGAACCATACTCTCCTAAGTCCCACCAAAATGCCAGTTAGTATGTATATGCGTATCTAATATGAACACTTAGCAATAACATGTAATATATGATATTGCATATCAATCTATTGATCTGTCTAGTTCAAATACACAAAGTAAAACAAAGAAACAGAATATAAATACAGGAAAAATAAAATCATGAGCTCATCCAAAAGATCTAATATGTGTTAGATAAATAAAAACTGATAAAAAGTAAAGGTGTACAAACTGCATTTTAAAATACTATTTTTTTACTAAAGGCAAGTCTCTCAGGTCCAATGGGACAAGTGCATGTGAACCAATGGGTGGCGGGAAGGAGGAAAGACCCACACCAGTTACATCACAGTGAAATTTCAAAGCCTGGAAATAAAGAAAGCTGCTTCAAAACATCACAAAAGAAAAGAAAGTCACACAACAAATATCTACATTCAGAAGGACACAGAACTTTTATTCCAAATAATAATGGAATGCTGCTGAAAGGCTGAAAACTATATATAGCCTTCAAAACTCAAAGCAAAAGTAAGTTTCAACCCAGAATTCTATAGTCAGTCAAATTATCAATCAAGAATACAAGTAAAATAGCACTGTAAAATTTCTGAGAAAGCTAAAGTTTTATCTTTGTGCACTTAAAAAGCTATTAAAAATAATCAAAAACAACATGGACCTTAGTAAATAAGGAATTTAATGTAAAAAAAAAAAAATTCCAGAACAACTACAAAATGAAGCAGGAAGCCAAACATTACTAAGGGATAAATTTCCACCAATTGGTGTACCTCACAATATGGAAAATAGTATTTATAAGCACATGGCAGAATTGTAAGTACATTTGAAGAAAATGAGCAATAGATCTACCAAGAACTAGGCAGCTGAATAACTAAGACAGCTACTGAATCCAGGAAAAATAAAAGCATGTTTAAGAAAAGAATGGTCTTAGTGACATATTTGACTTAACAGTGAACATTATATGCATAATAACATAATTTTAAGTATTCAATTCAATACTAGTTTACAAACATTGTGATACAACCATGGTGGAGTAATGCGTAAAAAGAAAGTGGGGGCCTCCCCGGTGGCGCAGCGGTTGAGCGCTGGCTTGCGAAGCTGCCCGCGGCCTCTGCGGCGCCGGTTCGATCCCCGCTGCTCCCCGGCCACCGGAGGAGGTCCCACATGGCGCGCAGACCTCTCCTGCCGCCCGCTGCTCCCCTCAGCAGTGTGCTTCGGTCCTTCTGCCTGCTCTGCTCCCCGCTCTGGCTCTGGTGAATTCTCTCACCCTCCCGCGCTTCTGACTGTACCCAGTGCATGTATAAATGAAAAAACAAACAAATAAAGAAAGAAAACATGCCTCTATAAAAAAAAAAAAAAAAAAAAAAAGTGGGCAAATATGTGAATGATGAGGTTTTTAAGTCTTCATTTTCCATAAACAGAAGTCAACAAATATCTAAAAGTCATTTATCAATAAACAGTGATATATGTAAACAGCAAGAAATCAAACACCAATGAAAGTGGCTAGCAAACCCGAGGATCCTTGACTCTGGAGTGGAAATAGGATATATTTTTTCCACCGAAAACCTTTAAGAGCTATTTGACATTTAAGTATCAACATGTGCTTTCATTATAATTTTTTTTCAAGATTTTTTTTTAAGATTTATTTTTTTTAAATAGAGGCATGTTTTATTTGTTTGTTTGTTTGTTTTTTGTTTATACATGCACTGGGTACAGTCAGAAGTTCGGGAGGGTGAGAGAATTCACCAGAGCCAGAGCGGGGAGCAGAGCAGGCAGAAGGACTGACGTACACTGCTGAGGGGAGCAGCGGGCGGCAGGAGAGGTCTGCGCGCCATGTGGGACCCTCGCCAGCGGCCGGGGATCGAACTGGCGCCGCAGAGGCTGTGGGCAGCTTCGCAACCCAGCGCTCATCCGCTGTGCCACCGGGGAGGCCCTTAAGATTTATTTATTTATTTTACAACCACTGGGCACAGTCAGAAGCACGGGAGGGTGAGAGAATTCACCAGAGCCAGAGCGGGGAGCAGAGCAGGCAGAAGGACCGAAGTACACTGCTGAGGGGAGCAGCGGGCGGCAGGAGAGGTCTGCGCGCCATGCGGGACCCTCCTCCCGTGGCCGGGGAGCATCCAGGGATCCAACCGGCGCAGCTGAGGCTGCAGGCAGCTTCGCAACCCAGCGCTCAACCGCTGCGCCACCTGGGAGGCCCTTTTTCAAGATTTTTTTTTAAAGATTTATTTATTTATACAAGAGCCGGGGTACAGGCAAGACACAAGGGAGGGTGAGAGGATTCACCAGAAACAAAGCAGGGAACAGAACAGGCAGACTGACAAAAATACACTGCTGACGGGAGCAGCAGGCAAGACAGGAGAGGTCTGCTCACCATGTGGGTTGCTCTGAGGCCGGCAGGGATCGAATCGGCGCTGCGGACAGCTTCACAGCGCTGCGCTCAACCGCCTGCACCACCAGGGAGGCCCTCATTATAATTTTTTTAAAGATCTATTTATTTATGCAGACAAGAACTGGGGTACAGGCCAGAGGTGTGGGGTGTGAGAGGATTCACCAGAGACAGAGTGGGGAGCAGAGCAAGCAGACTGACTGAAATACACTGCTGAGGGGAGCAGCAGGCAAGTCAGGAGACGTTTGCTGCGCCATGTGGGTAGCTCCCTGGCAGGGGATCAAACTCGTGCTGCAGTGGCTGCGGATTGCTTCATAGGTTACATGTTAACCCCTTGAGCCACCAGGGAGGCCCTCATTATAATTTTTTAAAGAAATGTATGTTACAGAAAGAAAGATGATACCCTATGCCAGAATTCAATGTCTCAAGTTTAAACAAATTTGATTCACAACTTTTGAACCACTATATTCAATATCTAGGAGGAATAGTTAATGCAATGCTGACACAAGTCACAGTGAAAAAAATGTGTATGTATACATATATATAAAATTCAGATTAGTATATAAAAAAACTTTCTTTCATATAATTCGAGTTAAAATATTCAGGATTCTAATTGTTTTTTTCATGGTCTTACTAGATACATCTTACATTGTTTACAGCACTACAGCTTTCAAAGAAATTTTATACTAACATCTCATTTGTTCATCATGATACTTCTAGAAACTAAGCACAAAAAGTTCTACTCTTGTTGTACAGGAAGGATTCAGAAAACAAGCCATTACCAGAAGCCATGTACGGAGAGAGTGAGATTTACATTAGAGTCTAGACCCTCTGAGTCCCAGTTCAGAATTCTTTCTAATTTTATTAAATTTTAATTAGCCTAAATGTGACTGCAACTAAGAGTTTTAATCCTTTATCAGATCTAACAAATTCAACTGTTCAACTTTTTCTTAATTACTTAAATTACAGACAAAAAATTCCAAAAATAAGGTGAAAAAAATGAGCACACATACAGAATTACAAACTGAGTAACTTCCCCAAAAAAATAGCTCACCAAGTAAAAATTAAAAACCAAATTCCACTTTCTTTGAATGAGGCATACTATAGCACTTGCTTTATATTATCACACTTCAGAACAGTAATTACATTTCAGTTGCTAATTATTATGTTTCCAATTAATGAAATTTGGCTGTCTTTCTTATTGAAACTATATTCAATGTCATTAACCCAATTATCTCCCTCAACCTGACATGTAAAAATAATTCATACCCGCAGACTACTAAAAATTCAGTCTCCTGCCAAATCAAGAATAGTCATGCATTTAAGGAAATGGATCTCAACTTCTTTTTTCCTAAAGGTACCACCTTCTACAACTGGTTATTCATTCATTACAAAGGAGAGTATTATTTCCAGTTTGATTGAAGGTCACAACATAAGTCTAACGTATCTCATACATTTTCCTTCAAATTTCTGCTTTTGGGGAAGGATAATCTATATTAGCAAACAGGGTTAACAAGAAAAATAGGAACTAGTGTATCATCCTTCCACAACTTTCTATCCCGGATCCAACATATTATAAGACCAGATCTATCTACTTTTAACAAAAGTTTTTGTCTAATTAAAATAAAAGTTTTAAAAAGCAGTCTTAAAATAGAAGATACAGTCATGAGGAGCCTTTGAACCACTCAAAAAGTGTATACAAAATACTAGGTTTACATGTGTGTGTTTTAAAATCACATGTAACACCATCACTAAAGTTGATTCTACAGGACTGTGTGGAGGGAATATATTACAAGATTCTTACCCAAAACAAGAAGCATAATTTTTTGTAACTTAAGTTTACTTAAGTAAATGCAAAATACTACACATAACATTGAGAACAGATTTCATATTTAATTCATTTAAAACAGGTTTTGTAAAACAATGTGACAAACAGATCTGTTGAATTCTCCACAGTAAAATTAAGTAAAAATACAGGTCTACAACTTTTTCAAAGAAGAAATGCAAATTACCAACAGGATTGACACAGAATACAAATCACAATGAGAATGGCCCATATTAAAACAATTGGATGGGCCTCCCTGGCAGCGCAAGGGGGCAAAGCACAGCACTGTGAAGCTATCTGAAGCCTCTGCAGCATGAATTCAATCCCCAGCCAGGGAGCTACCCACTGGCACAGCAGACCTCTCCTGACTCGCCTTCTGCTCCCCTCAGCAGCGTATTCCAGTCAGTCTGCCTGTTCTGCTCCCCACTCTGTCTCTGGTGAATCCTCTCACCCCCGACACCTCTGGCCTGTACCCCAGCTCTTGTATGCATAAATAAATTTTAAAAAATACAAGACTACAATTCCATTTCTGAAACTCTTGTATTTGGGGGAAAAAATCTTTTATTTTTAGAAGATTTATTTTTATTTATGTATGCATACAAGAACTGGGGTGTAGGCCAGCAGGCAGTGAAGGGGTGAGAGGACTCACCAGAGACAGAGTGGGG